GTATAAGGGCTCCAAGGGCTCCAAGGGCTACAAAGGCGGCAGAGGACGCTCCTCAGGATGGAAGGGCAAAGGCTGGCGCAATAATCGCTGGTACAGTCAGGAGCCGTGGGAGCACAGATCTGGAACGGAGGACCGGACAACGCGTCTTGGCCATCTTCGCCCGAGGGAGCCGGACACCCCTCCTCCAGGATACCGAGCCCCTACACCACCTAGAATCCCTTCTCCGCGGACTCCTCCGACTACAGGTTCCTTGCCGACTACGCCGCCGGAGCTGCTTCAGCAAAGTGCACCTTGCACCCCGCCGGAACTCTTGGAAAAGGCCAGTGCAAGCAGGACAGCTGCGGCTCGGCACCCTCCTGATCCTCCTCTTCCTGAAACTAAAGCAGCTTGCTCGGCCAAGGACGTCGCCGAGGACGACCTCACGAGACAGCGAAAACCGGAGGTTCCCTCGGGTGAGAGGAAGGAGGAGAAGAAGGAGGTACTACGGTTGCCCACGATGCCTCCCAAGCCGAAGGTGAGGGCCGGGACAGAGCAAGGGAGGCGACTTCGGCGCCTTCACCGGCGGCAAGGGCAGCACCTGCTGACAAGGCCTCAACCACCACGGAGGGGACTCTTCCTGCGACCAAAAGCCGGAATACTGCCAAGGAGACCGAGCAGGGCGCTGGGGTGGAGAGACTCAGATCCTACCGCATGCCCAAGGGTTCCATTGGGAGGTTGTTGGCTCAGAAGGGCAAAGACACTCGACCCGCATCGCGAGTGGAATCGCCGGAGGATGTGGAGGCAGGGCCCAGCAGCAAGCGCCCCCGGAGCTCCGCCCCTGTGGCAATGAGGCCAGTTCAGAGTGGTGCCATGGGCGGCACAACCAAAGGGCCGCAGGTGAACATGTTCACAGAAGAGAGCCAGGATAAGGGGTGGACCAGGCCCTTGCCAATCCACCACGGAGGCCAGCACCGTCGCCGCCGAGGACAATCACGCAGGCTGAGGTGCAGACAACCGAGACTCCTCCACCCAAGCAGGCTCCCAGAGTGGTGGATCCAGCGGAAAGCCCCTTTGCGCCTCCGCAAAAGGGGCCACCACTGACACCTATGGACAGTGGTGAACCTGGTGAGCCTCGCGATAAGAGCGTCCACAAGAAGGCCAGAAAGGACAGGAAGCACCGCACCGAGAAGAGCAAGAACAAGTCCAAAAAGGACCACAAGAAGGACAAGAAGCGCAAGGCAAGTGCGGAAAGGGGGTCCAAGTCGGGCAAGCAAGATCGAAAGAGCAAGAAGAGATCCCGTTCAAAGTCCTGGAAGGTGGTGGACCCGTCTCACCGCTGTGCAATGTCTGAGAAGGCGGCCGCTGATAGTGCCACAGCCGAGAAGCATAAGCCCTCGGTGTATGAGGAATGCGAATCTGAGTGCAGCGAGCTGGAGTACATGGGTTCCTTGCATGTTTCTGCCCCTGCTCAGGCTTCGGAGGCCCAACAGACCACTGAGTCCCCTAGCCCAAATGCACAGGCCCCGCCGGCTGTGACTAGGAATCCTCAGCTACATAGGGCAGCCCTGATAGGTCCGCATCAGAGTCAGACCTGGCTTACCCCATGCTCCAATCAGAGTAGACTGCATTCATTCTTTGGGCACCATAGGAGCAGCGGCTCCCGCTGCAGCGGAGGTCCACCTCCGGAGCCGGCTACCGTGCGCCCAGCTGCATGTGCACATGTCTGCTGCACTGCCACCACAGAAGGTCTCAGGCTAGGGCACTTAGGTTGCTTGTACGTAAATGTTTTCTCTAAGCAGGGTCAACAGTTGCTGCATGTTACAGTGCTTCCTGCCCCTGCACGGCTCGTTCTGCTCGGGCAGACCAAGGAGGTTGCTCTCCACCACAGTCTTATAAGACATAGTGAGGCCTCACATAATGCAACGCAGCAGCCACTGCCACCCCGCAATCTCAGGAGGAACAGTTTCACTGCAGCACCACCTAGCAGCCTGAGATTTCACCACATGGCCACTTCATCGGATTCGGAAGGAATCTTCCACTCCTCGGATGAGGACCCTCGACACCTCTCCGCCGACGAGGCCTGGTTAGCACCTACCCCGGACGTGGGCCACGACCCGGCAGCAGTCTCCCCACCGAACCACAACGAGGAAGCTGCCAGTGAGCTGGGGAGTGACATTATGTGTAGTCCTGCTGCGGATCCTCCACCGGAGGTTACAGACGATGAGAGGCTCTGGTCGCCCTCCCCAGACGCCCCTCCCAAGCAGACTGTACCTGGAACTCCTGTGGGCCACCTACTGGGTCGAGTGCCGCACAGTCACGACTACCCGGAGGTTGTCCTTCAAGCGCTCCGTGGCAACCTGCCCAGCCCGTCATTGAGTCCTCCGCCGCAAAGGAAGCAGCCCGTGCTCTCAGACAGCGAATGCCAGGACATGGACAAGAGGACACGATCCTCCGTGCTGCAGAGGCGGCCTGTGAGCCGAGCGCCGAGACCAAGCAAGGCGCCTCATCTCCTAGAGAAAGAGCAGGCCGACCAGCCGATAGACGCTACGGCCGCGGTCTCGGACGAGGACCCATCTTTTGGCTGGCTAGAGGACGATGCCTTCCGGAGGAGAAACGAGCCGTCCTCGGCGTCGACGGCACAGCCTCTAAAGCGCAGCAGGGCTTGTGCTAAAATGCTCGTCCGGGCGGGCTACCGATGCCCTCGATGCTTTAAAATAAAGCAGGTGGACTGTCAGTGCTCGGGACCAGAAGGAAAACTGCCTCAGTCAGTGGTAGCCAGTGCACATACCTTTGCACGTGTCGAGAGGTTAAGGTGGATAGATAGCATCCCTACCTGTCTGGTGCACCCGCGGTGGTCCGTAACCGAAGGCCATCTAAGTTCCCTAAATCTCCAGAGCAGTCACCACCAGGTACCGCAATTGGACGCCCATCCCTCCGCTGCAATGCCTGTGGACAGCAGACCCTTCTCCTGCTGTTGGGGGCCTAGATTCTTCCGAAGGCGCTCAGTGCTAGTCCGAGATGCTAACAGGCGTCTACTCTGGCCTACAGTAAAGGTAGACTGGTCGTTTTTCAGCAGGACTAATGCCCAGCAGGACAGTCTTTTCATCTCGGAGGGTACTAGGTACGATGCAGTTATACAGGAGGATGCCTCCAAGGAAACCGGGCCTCCGTACATACCGATTGGACACCACGCGCAGAGCCGCTCGGGTCCCAAGTCCCGAGGTGGACGGTTGCTAAGCACTATGATCATACAAAGTTTCCTGATAACCAGTAGCACCGCCACAGACGTGAGGGTAGGGGGAGGAGTCGCGAGTCCCCCTGAAGCTTACCATGCTAACAGCAT